TCTATCTATCTATCTATCTATCTATCTATCTATCTATCTATCTATCTATCTATCTCTTTCTCTATCTATCTATCTCTTTCTCTATCTATCTATCTGTCTATCTATCTATGTCTCTCTCTTTCCTCTTTTTCTGTCGATCTCTCTCTCTCTCTCTTTTCTGTCGTTCTCTCTTTCTCTTTCTCTCTCTCTCTCTCTCTCTCTCTCTCACACACACACACACACACACACACACACACACACACACACACACACACACACACTTTTCCCCAGCACTATATGACCCTTATAGTGTCTATGTGCTGCTCTTTACTCAAACAAACAAACAGACAAACAAACAATCGACAGTTTACACTATTTAGGAGGCGGGCTTCCGCCCCAGATGTCAGGCCAACAAGGGTTGTTTCGTTTTAGTTTTAGTAAGACGTATTTTACGGCACTGGCAACACAATTAGGTCATATAAGTGCCGAAGACTAGAGGTGCCACAAGAGAGTAACAGACACAAACACAAAAAAGAAGGGGAGATATTAGGATGATAGGTGTTTGATAGGAAAGAAGGAGCAAACCACACCAGAGCACCCACCAACCACCCACAAGCAACAAAGGTTGAGAGGGATGCAACATCCCGGCAGAAAGACCAAGAAATTAGATTTTAAAAATGTCTCTCCAATGTTTCGTCATCATCATCATTGCCTTTCTCACCCTGGATCAGGATATAGGCCACGAACAAACACTCTCCACCTTTCCCTATCCTGGGCAAGTCGCTTGATGTCACTCCACGTCTTCCCACTTTTCTGTACACATCCATTTCCGTGACTCTTCTCAGGTTCCACGAGGTCTTCCCCTTGATCTTTTACCCTGTGGGTTCCAATCTAACACTTTTCTTGTTATGCAGCTGCTTGACTTCCTGAGATGTTTCGTGGGCGAAGGTAAATTATTTAATGGACTAGGACACTTTTAGTTTCGTTTTAGTAAGATTTTTCCCGGCACTTGCAACACAATAAGGTCGTTCGTGTAAGTGTCAAAGATTAGAGGTGTTACATGAGCGTAACAAACACACACACACACACA